TTCCCGCGGAAGTGCTCGGAGCGGGGGAAGGTGAGCGGCGGCCGGCCGGGCCCTTACCGGCTCAGCTGGGGCTTGGCCTGACCCGGCCACGCCTCCTTCCCCCTCCCCTCATCCCCCCCGTGTGTCCGCAGACGATGTCGAGCAAGGAGAAGGGGAAGTTTGAAGAAATGGCCAAGGGAGACAAAGCGCGTTATGACAGGGAGATGAAGAACTACGTCCCTCCCAAGGGCGAGAAGAAGGGGAAGAAGAAGGACCCCAACGCTCCTAAAAGACCACCGTGAGTGTTGACGTGACCGGGGGGGCAAAAAAAAAAAAAGAAAAAACTCCAAAGTATTAGTTCTGATAGCCTGACGCCTAATATTAATCGCCCTCTCTCATTTCAGGTCTGCGTTCTTCCTTTTCTGTTCTGAGCACCGTCCGAAAATCAAAAACGATCATCCTGGCTTGTCCATTGGAGATACAGCAAAGAAGCTGGGCGAGATGTGGTCTGAGCAGTCGGCCAAAGACAAGCAGCCGTACGAACAGAAGGCTGCCAAGCTAAAGGAGAAGTACGAAAAGGTACGGCGAAAGTGATAAAGCAGTGGTTGAAGCTGCGGAGGCCGCTGTAAAGGTGCGGCTCGTGGTTTGCGTCGGAGCCGTGTACGGTTCGTGATTCCGTTTGTGCCACCAGTTGTCAGGCGTCAGCGTGCGGGGGGAGGCACCCGACACCCTCATGGTGAACCTGGATGTGGTTCTTACGCGTCTAGGGGTTTTACCAGTAAGACGCTTTACTTCCAGAAAACAGGTCACCCGCTTGGTAAAATGCAGTCGCGCTCCAAAGCGCTGTGCTCGTGAAATTCTTAAACCTGCCTGGATCGTGCCGCCTCTTGGCAAGAGGGGCGTGAGCGCGAAAGTCCCGAGGTGGAAACCCTGCTTTCCCGCGCACGCTGCGTCCGATCCGCGCGGCACGGTAGCGTTGAATTATTGCAGCGGTGCTGGTTTGCCTTCGGGGCTACGCTGCCAGCAACTGAACAGCGTTTTTCTTGCAGGATATTGCAGCATATCGTGCCAAGAGCAAGAGTGATGCAGGAAAAAAGGGCCCAGGCAGGCCTGCAGGATCTAAGAAGAAAGCGGAACCGGAAGAGGAGGAGGAGGAGGAGGAAGACGATGAAGAGGAAGAAGAAGAAGAGGATGAGGAATAAACGAATGTCCTGCTGTAAAGATTTATGCTGAAAATCCAATATTTTGCTAAGAATGTGAACTCAAGTGCAGCTCATTGTTAGCTTCAGTATAAAAATGTGTACAGAATTGTGTATAGGTAATGTGGTTCTTTGTAGGGAGACCTCTATTTTTAATGTAAGTAGTAGCCAAGGGCTGCTACAGTTTGGTTTTAAAAAGGAGAAAAAAAAAAAAAAAAAAAAAGTTGTGGAATGTTTCTGCATATTTAATGATTTTGTTGAAATTCAGTGACTGATAGCCAGGTGTTTCTTCATAGCTAAGTAAAACAAAGGAGGTAGCTTAATAGCTGATCTTATATTTTGTAGTATATGGCATTGTATTACTTTTTTAACAATTTTGTAATAAAATGTTGTACATGATCCTTGCGCTATTCTTCGTGTTTCCGAGAGGCTGGGAGCTCCCCGGCTGCCGCAGCGCTGTGCGGGATGGCGCTTCGCGTTCTTCTCGGGCTGTTGCTGTTCCCGCCCGGTCTCCCGAAGCGTTGACCCCTGCAGCTGGAACAGGAGGGTCAGCTTTTTTAACCGCGATTCTCTCTGCCATGTGCACCATCGTTAGCTGCAATTGACTTTTTCCTTATGCTAGCGTTTGCTTATATCGCCTTGGGAGCGAGAAAAATATCTCTAATTTTAAGTACTGAAGCTGCTGATAATTAATCCTCGACTGCTTTCTTTCCCCAAACTGCCGAAGCACAGACCGTGGTTTCGTCTCGGTGCGTTAGCTGGGAATGGGTCGATCTCGGGAACTTCCCCTCATGGAGCTGAGGGTCGCTGGCCTTCTCTGCTGTCCGGCCCGGGACAGGCAAGCTGGCTGCAGGACAGATGTGGTTAGAGGTATGTCTTCCCAGATGTGCCCTTCTCCTTCCCTCGCCCCCCCGGTGTTAGTGACTTCTCATAAAACACACCGCTTGCAGAGCAGCATGAAAAATGCTGGAATGTTATCTCTGAGCAGGCCAGAAGATTCCTGCAGGAGAGAGAGAGGAGGCATTTGTAAAGAACGTGCTCCTGACATGTTCGTTTTCGGGGCTGGTAACAGTATCGCCAGTCACACTGTTTGTTGGTTTTCAGTATTTTTCACTCGACCCTTGGTATATTTAAAAGTCTAAATCTAGATACCTCACAATATTTGCATGTGGGAGATTGGAAATCCCACAGCCAAACTAAGAGCTTATGTTTAATTTGTTGAGATAAATACTGGGCGATAGCTTTTGCACTGAAAAACACGTCTAAAATACTAAGTACTATAAAGGGCAGGCTTCCCACTTTTTTTTGTGTTTTGTTTTTAAACTGTCTCCCTATTGTCCATCAACTTCTGAGATCAATTTGCATACAGTCATTGTACATGTGTAAGATAAAAAGTGATTTCGGCGCTATAACCGTGGTGAACGTCACTCACTGTGGCAGGGCAATGATAACGTGGCGCCTTCTCAAACGAGTCTTGACAAAACCACTTTGTGTGTTCCTCAAGTACAGTAACTGCAAAGGCAATTCAAACATTTTTATGCTAAAGTGGGGACTAATCTTTGAAGGCGCTGGAAATTCAAGCGTTGTGTTTTTTCCTCCCCACCCTGCCGCTGAGTTGGGTAAAGCAGTGTGGGCAGGACCAGCTGCTGTGCGACGCGCCGGACCCGCAGAGCCGCGCAGCGCAGGGGGATCCACGGCTCCCATTTCGCAGGCGCGGATTCTGGGAAGCCGTGGGCGTCAAACTGGCCGTGCGAGGCCGTCGTTCCGCGTGCCGTACGTCCAGCGCTCCAGAACGCTTTCTCCCACAGAGAGTTTGCAATCTCAGAGCACCTTTACCCTTAACTCAAAAAATTTCTTCCAGCTAGAGGCCATTCACTGAGACTCCGCTGGTCTTGCTCATTCTCAGCATTTTCTCTTCAGATTTCCCTGTAGAAATGCACCGTCACCGCCCCGCGATTCTCAGACTCCCTCCCTGAACAGAACAGTGGTGCTGCAAGAGTTCTTTCTGATTAGATTTGAATAATCTTTTGCAGTGGAGCAGTAGCGTCGGAGTAAATTGACTCGTTTGATTATTTGAAATGTTTTTTTTACTTCCGCTCAAGTGCTCTTAAATGGAAATGAAATGTAACCCTTCAGGTGTCCTAGAAAGCCGTGTGGGTTACAGAATTTTAAATATCGTGTCAGAATAAGAGCAGATCTTGAGGTAATTCAGAACAAAGGAGCTCTTCTAATATTTTCCTCAGTGAGGTAAAATGGCTTTTGGGTTCTATTTCACTTAGCATTAGTCAGCTAATTTAACTTCAGCACAACTTCTGCACAAATCAGCGTGGAGCTGCCTGATGTTGCCGCTCCGTCGTCCCGCGTCCTGACGACGCTCCATGAAAAGCCACCTGGGGCTTGCTTTTGTTTATGATCTCACTTCCAAATGCGTCCTGGCTGCTGGAGAGATCTGTACCGCAAAAAACAGTCTCTCGCACCGCCCTCCTAGGCTGACCCACATCGCTGCACAGCTCGTTCTTGCGTGCGCGCCGTGGCAGCACGAGCTGCAGCAAGCCGCAGCAAGGCTCCCCGTCAAGCTGATCCATCAACAGGGAGTGATGTCATGGCTAAAGATGATTAGTAATTTTTTAAAATAATATTTTGCCCTTTCGATGTTGAGGACAGATTAAAGGCAAATGGAAAAGAGCATGTGGAAATCACTACTTTCAAATTAAGCTTTAAAAAGTACGGTGTGTCAGGTCAGGGGGTTCAGGCAATGCCCAGCTGTGAGCAAGGAAAGAACTAGCCCTGGAGAGGACTGGTGAGTGATCAAAGTGCAACGGGAGTGCTCGGAAAAGGTAAGGCCATAGAAGAAAAGCTAAATCAGTTACGTCCGTGTTCAATATGGACAATCTTAAGAAATTACTCACTGGAAACTTTTCACTGGAGTGGAACTGGGAGTCTGTCTCAAATCAAAACTACAAGGGAAGCCCAGAATAGTTGCAGGCATCAGGGAGACTGCCTACGTTGCGTTTGAGGTCCAGCAAACAAGGCGTACCACCCAGTCAAGCAGACCAAGACCACCAAAAAAAACCCGACTGATAATGGTAAAGAGCAGGTATGAGAGAGTGACAAAACGTAGGAGAGCAGTCTTAAAAAAGTTAAAGTTATCTCTAAACCAGTAAATCAGAAGAAACCCGCATCCCCGACAGGCCGGACACAGCAACGCGTGGCAGGGAGAAAGAGCATCAGAGCAACTGGGGAAAACAGACGGAGTAAGAATGATTTGCAAGAACATCAGGACCAGGAGGCCTGCCAAGCTGTCCCAGGGACAAGAGATGCTCAAGATAGAGCAGCAATGCCTAGACGAGATTTCAAGGAAAGAAAACAACTTTTTTTTTTGTAACCTTGTAGAGGAGCTTCAGGAAATTTTCACGACAGACCATTTTAATGGGAGAGGCATGGTGGAGCATCTGTCTCAAATCCAAGTGTAAAAGGTTTTGAAACAAAATGACAGGACAGATGGTATTCATCCAAGAGTTCTAAGGAAACCCAGGGAGGAAATGGCTCAACTATGAACTGTACTTTATATTTTTTTTTTCACTTAAAACTGCCTTACTGCTAGAGGAATGGAAGGTCACCGCTATGACACTGATTTGCAGAAAGCTTTCTGTGGACATACAGGGAACTTCAGACCAGTAACGACCGTATGGCCAGTTGGTAGGAGCCACAGCACAGCCGAGAGCTGCTGGACAAATGGCTAACTAGGACTTGTGATTTCACAAGAGGAAATCCTGTTGCACAGACCCGTAAGTGTTCTTCAGAGAAATCAATGAACGTGAAGGTTAAGATCATCAGGTAGTTCCAGTCTACTAAAGTTTGGTCTGGTGTACTTCTCATAAAGGAAACGGGTCGTCACTGAAGGCCTCGCATGAATAAATAGGTGGTTTACAATACAGGACAAAAATAGGCATCAGCCACCCGTTTCACCAGCAGAGGAAAATCTCCTGTGAAAACCCACGGGTTATTTTTGGCGATGGGGTTAACGACTAGTGATTGTTCCATAGATACATCAGTGACTCGGAAAAAAAGTGGTGAGCAGTGCTGCAAGAAAGACGGGAGCTCGCGGCGAAGAGCTGCAAAGGCAGCCTGAAGTGACAGGACAAGAAAACCAGCAGGTGAAATACAGCATTAATAGAAAGTGTATCGCATGTTCACGCATGCTCCCCCAGCACGTGTGATGGGCAAAAAGCAAGCCTAACGTTTATGGCCTGGGCAGGGTGGGTGGATGATAAAGTACATTGCATCAGTCTGGAGGAGATGCTGGAGCTATGATAGGTAATTCTGTGAAGACGTGATAGACGTTTGCTAGAGAAGCAAATGGCATGTTAGGCATTATTAGGTAGAGTTAAGAACAAAACAAACATTTAGTATTTCCTTGCCATCTTCCTAAAGGAATGTAAAGTTTCCTTCTTCTTAGATCATCTTCGCACAAAGCTTGTTTACAAAGTTGGTCTTATTTTTCCCAAGCAAAACCAATGCTCTGCAAATATGCCTCTTGTGGTCTTTGGGGTTTTTGGTGTGTTTCCAAAAGGAAAACCTTGATTAGAACAGCTGCAGACCTGGGAACTGATTGCAGGACAGACAGGCTTTAGAACTCAAATTTAACACAAAAGAAATTGCAAACGGGTGTGGAGAGAAAATCAGAAAAAAATGGAACAGGAGTTTTATCTCCGATTAGCTAATGACCTATTGAACTGTTTCATAACAGCGTATCACAGGCATCTTCTGTATAACATCAGCAGATAATGTAGTACATAGTGCTCAGTGAGGGGTTATTTGCCGGGGTGGTGACTGTCACTGACCCTGCTTCACTTGCCTTACCAGCCTTAGCATATATTTATTTCTCTTTTTTTTTTTTTTTCGTTGTGGCTTTTTTTTTTTTTTC